AATTAAAATCTTAATTAATGTAAATTAAAATTTCATCTTAGTTAATTATTATATTTGACAAAAATTTGAATTTCAAAAACTAAATGTTGCAAAAAATAAAAATATATGTACTATATTTAACATTTTTCAAAAGTTTAGGGGAATTCCGTTAGTCTAGTTAACGGAATGTTTGTTAAGTAGACCATTTTAAACAAAATTGATAGTTTATAGATGATTTTGAAAGAAAAAATTATTTCTAGACTAAACTGAAATAAATCATATAGTTAATAGATTATTTATTGAATTTAACCGATGTTTTTCATCCAATTGTCAATTAGATATTAATATGAGTATAGATAGAGCATTGTAGTACTAGGACTTAGTATTTAGAGGTTTCAATTTTTTAATTGTCCTATATATAAGGAATACTTAACTTTATATGTTAATGACATAGATCCTTACTCATTTTTTTTTTTATATTGACTACAGAACATATATGATTGGGTATAGCTTGCATTATAATTGTTTTAATTATTAATACAACTATACTTTTATTAAAAAAAAAAAGTTCCTTTATGTATAATTAGGAAAAAGGCAGGGAGTTCTAATATTTCTAAAAGAAAAACTCATTGCTAGAAGTAGAAATCTCACAATGTTTAAGGAAATACTCAAAATTTTTATGTTTCAAATAACAGTTTAAAATTTTCATTCTAGTGATTAGTTATTGTTGCTTTGAACATATGCCGTAGCAAATCAAAGGAATACCTTAAGTTGTTAGTACCTCCATCCTCTTTTTCTTCATAATCTACATCTTCTTCAGCTGTGGCATCCTAGTACTGCTAATACTTTGCAACAAGGTTAGTCATGTTGCACTCTGCATTAGTGAACTCTATCTCATCGATACCTTCTCCGATATATCAAAGCAAGAATGCCTTCCTCCCAAACATGGCCATTAACTGCTCGCTAACTTTTCTAAACAGCTTTTGAATCGAAGTCGAATTGCTAATGAATGTTGAAGCCACATGGAAAGCCCTTTTTGTAGAATGTCACAAATGCTGGACTTGATGTTGTTGGGAATCCACTTGACGAAGTAGGATGAGTTTCTGTTTTGCACATTCAGTATCTATTCGTCTACTTCTTTTATGCTCATTTTGCCTCTAACAGAGCAAGGCTGTGAGTAGCAACCATGGTGAGGATCAACGACACACATCATGTTCTTGGAATCCCACATCTATTGGGTTAGTTCGGGACAGTGAGTGCACGATACTGCTGAGATCCTTCGGATGTCAAAGGAGCAAATCCCACCATGAAGAAGTGTAGTCTTGGGAATGGAATCAAGTTTACTGCCAACTTTCAAAGATTTGAGTTTAGCTAACCCTAGAATCGTAAGCAACATGTGACACCACTCATTGTAGCAAAGCTCAAATGATTCAAATCCCAACTATAAAAAACAAATGTAAGAAACAAAATAATCAATCAAAAGAAGCATTCAAAGTTCAATTTATTGATTTCAAACTCCCTAATGACAATTGTTTCATGGAGTTGTGTTGCCATTTAAAAGTAAACAATTGTAATGAATTACGCCCAAAATTTTGCTCAATACCCATGGATGGGGCGATTTAGGTTACCCATGATATTAGTAAGGCTAAAGGCCAAATACCCATGAAATAGTAATTAAACTACTTGCATGAAGAGATTTTCCATATAATGTTGCTAATGTTTTACTTATAGCTTGAGGTGTTGAGCTTGTGGGTTCAAAAGCAAATATCATAAAGTGCTTCACTGTCAAGGACCATGCATTCATTGGCATTCTCCACTAGCTGATGCACTAAAAGAGTGGCATTATAAGGTTCTACCATAGTGTCTAACACTTTTGGAGCTAGGAAGACTAAGACTGTAAGCGTCATTCTGTTAGGATATTCTTCCCTTATCTTCGAAGTCAATAGAGTTCCCATTCCAAACCTTGTTCCACCTTCAAGTGAATGGCACACTTGAAATCTTGCAACGCAAAAAATGAAAAAATAGTCATATTTCGCACCTAAACAGTAATGTTTTAACAATTTTTTAACTTATTTACAATTCTCTAAGTATTTAAGCTGGAGTTTTGTACATTTTAAGTCTTACATAGATTTTAAATCATACATAAATGATCAGACATTACAATTCCCATGGTTGAAATGAAGATGCTATATTATAATAAAATTTCAAGGTCATACCTTGCAAGCAATCAAAATTCTTAGCTTCCTTCCTCACAACATCAAGTACTAAATCAATGAGCTTGGCACTCTCAATGTAATGACCCTTGGCCTAATTGTTCCTAGCCCTGGACTACCTGAAAACAAATGTATTGGGCCAGAGGATTTGCCCATATAGGTTGGTTTGGGTGTTATCCATGGTACATGGTTCCAAGTTTATGAGCATTGCCTGTGGCACATACCATCCACCACACTAGCCTCATTGTAGTATACGTTTATTCCCTCTAGTTGCAACTTTGAGTTTCCGATGTACCGACTGATAGGGTCTATGTCATGCTCGTCACAATCCACTTCCCAGAACTTTGATCCAATTTGGTTCCCACATTACCCCCCCTTGGATGTGTAGAATTTCATGCATTGTGACTTGGGTGAAAGGAGACTGGTTGTGGGCAAAATGGGGGCAAAATGGGAATAAAGTTGGGTTTGTGAGTGGGCTTGACCCGCCTTGGATGATGAAGGGGCCATGCTAGTGGTTTATTTATGCATGGGTATTGAGTTTGTGGAATGACTTAAATGCCCTCGATGTATGTGGAAAATGAAGGGTTGAGATTTGATTAGGCATGGTGATCTAAAGATTGAGGATTGTCCATCCACTGAAAGAGAAAGATAGTCGGTGAAGTGATGGATTTTGGTTTTAATTAATAGATGCCATTTAGAGTTGATACCTACAAATCGAGAGTGGCTGGCAATTAACAAGCCACTTGGATTTATTATTTGGGTAGAAAAAGGAATTGAAATGTGTTTTTACTATAAAAAAGGTATTATACAATTTTTTTATAGGAAATAGAGAAATATATTAAACAATAAGAAATTATAACGGAATCGCTATCTCATAACATTATAGCCTAAAGCAGCATGTCCTAAAGATAAAATCAGAAGTATAACCTACAGCACTAATAATAGATTTAAACTACCCATGACGGATATAAACAATTAAACAAAAAGAGTCATTTGCAACTAAAGTTGCAATTACAATCATTGTATGGATTAAATAGGGCTATTAATGTAAAAAGGAGAGTTACTATGAGTAGCAAAAACTACTAGACATCTTTACCTATTTAACTAGCTTCATGGAGAGAGCAAGGGATTTTGGCAACAAACAATCCCCAACTTGCAAGTTGCCACCCTATCTATTCTTAAAGAATAACCAACGGGAGGGGTATGGTCCTCCTCCATACAAGCACAAGGCACCCCACTCATCTCCATGTGCTCCCAACCATGACCCATCTTTTCCAATCCTCTTCAAACCCTTGATGTCGAAACTCATTAAGGCAACTAGAGCCCTTTTACCGACTTAAATATCATTCTTCCCTTGCAGAACAAAATCAGCTTCACTAATAGCATCCCTTTCTTTTGTTTTCAGTCATAAAACTTGGTTAAGCTCTAATGATGACCACTCGGATTAACGATTTTAACATCATAGGGGATTTTGAAATAGAGGATAGTTGCAACTGAAAATCATCCATCCAAAACAGAGCCAATCCACCCCCTATCAACATAATCAATAACAAAACAGTGTTCAAACCCTAGATCTATATGAATCAAATTGATCTCATTAACTATTTGCTTTGTTTCAGAGAAGAAGATGATACTAGGCTTGTGCAGGAAACAAAGCTTCTTTAATTTTGAAATCGTAGAGTCTTTCTCAAGGCCTTGACAAATCTAGGCCAATATGCAATTCAAAACCATGAAAGGAATAGGGAACTGAGAAAAAAAAGTAGGAAACAGAGAGGAGAGGGGCCTTTAAAACAGGGAGGAACACCTAGGTGAGATGCTCGCCTGTTGGAGAGGAAAAACCCTAGTAGCGATGACAAGAGAAACTCTAGTGCAATTAAGGTATTATACAATTTGAATTATCCTAAACCATACAACTTTAATTATTAGTAGACTTGGCAAACAAGTCAGATTGGGTGGGTTCGAATTGGGTCATCTTAGATTTTGGGTTTTTTGGATTGGGTCATTTCGGGTGTCGAGTTAAAGTGGTAAACTCATGACCCACCCATACAGGTCTCGGATTGGCTCGAATGGACCCAACTTTTTAAGAGATTAAAATTAAAATTAAAATTTTTCCAAAATTTTCTCTATTTTTCTTTAAAAAAATCTAATGTTAATTAAATATTTAATCAAAAAAATCTATTAAACAAATACTAATTCTAATTTTCGTTTCATGATGCAATTTTTATTCCAATCTCATGAAAAGAAGTTGGCAAGATTATTGAATTACATAAATAGAACTAAAATATATATCAAATAAATAATATATATATATATACAATATTTAGAATTTATAATTTTATAAAGGTATGAACCTCTATTAAAAGAAGAGATATGAAGGATTTAGAGTTGAAAAGACAAAACAAACACATATGTTAATATCTAGTGTCTATTTAACATTTATAAGGGCCTTATACAAAAAATACAACCCTATTCAACATTTAGAAGGGCATTATATAAAAAATACTACCCTATTCAATATTAGAGTTTAAAAGGTATTTAGTGCTAGTTTAATAGTTAGAAGGGCATCATACAAAAATACAACCTTATTGCCTATTAACAACGTCAAGAACTAGATCCCCTTAGATTTGCGAGTCTAGTGGCTGTGTCAATGCCAACATCCAATTGAAACTCTAATCCTGCCATTCCATCTTCTTTTGGATCCTCAGTTGCATCTAGTAATTCATGTTATCAAGAAATTAACTTAACAAAGTAAATATTAAAACATATATAAGTATACATATATTATATATATGAAAAAAAATAAAAATAAAGAATGTATATTATCTCCAACTAACCAGCTCCGAGTTGTTATCAAAGTTTTTGCATTTTCAGGTGTTAGACTACCTCCCAATTTGGTTAAAACTCTACCACCTTTGCTGAAAGTGGATTTAGAAGCTACAGTAATAATAGGTATTAATAACATATCCTTTGCCATGGCAGCCAATCTTGGATATTGATATTCATTTTTTCTCCACCAATCAAGAATATCCAATGGCTCTGAATGAGGCAATCTCCTCTCTTCCAAGTACCTATGTAACTTTGATCTATATCTATTAATCTATTTGGTTCAAATTCATTGAAATTCTACAAAATATAAAATAATAAATTTTAGTGAAAGTCATCTTATTTTTCTCTCTATCTTAAGTTTGTATTCCCTCCTCCATTGTTGTCCATCCTTATCAAGAATCTGTTATATTAAAAAAAAAAACATATTTCACCATGAAAAAATAGCATAAGAATTTTTAAAGACATTATAATTTAATATTCTTAAAACTAAATAAACAAATTGATTAAACACTCACTTTTCCAACAAGAATGAAAGGAAAAAAATTTGTAATAAGGAAATATGATCTATATGGTAAAGAAAAATAAATAAAAGATAAAAAAGGTTGACATGCTTACCTCATCATGGACTAAAGGACTCCTTAAATTGACAACACCATGAGAGACAATTCCTATAGCTTCAACAATCCTGTCTTCATTGCCTAAATATTCATTCTAAAAACTTTCCAAACAATTTTTGACATTCTCATACTTTGCCAAGTGTGTTGTCTCATCCAATTTCATGTAACAATATTTTACATAATCCAATTTGAAGTGAGGATCAAGAATTATAGCAAAAGCAAGCACCAAATTATAACAATCCCAATACTTATCAAATTTAATCTTCATATTTTTTGCCATTGCCCTCACACACAGATCATGACTTCCCATCTCTGCTCGTAAAGTCAATTCAATAGCCTAAACATGTTTGAAAAACAAGTTTGCTATAGGATATTGGGAACCAAAAAAAAGAGTGGTTATCTCACTAAATGGCTCCAAAAGTTGACAAATGTGCTACACTCTAATCCATCCATCAGGTTCTAAGGACCAAACATAGTTCCTATCCTCCAATGCAAAGTTAATAAAGGGTTGTCAATATACAAGTGCAGTTGCCAACATAGTATAAGTAGAATTCCATTTAATTGGGCAATCTAACCACAAGCCTTTACTTATATTACAGCCCACATTTGCACAATCTCGAAAACTAATCTTTCTTCCCTCAGATCCAATTATATATTTAATACCCTCCTTCAACTTCTTGACACTCTCATCAATCACTTTTAGACCTTTTTGGATGATCAAATTTAGCACATGAGCACAACAATGAATATGGAAAAATTCCAAATTGCAAGGTAATGGATATTCCAAATTTAGGGTATTGCATAAAAGATCTTGCATATTGTCATTGCACCTTGCATTTATCTAAAGTGATAGAAAATATTTTATCTTGAATACCCCATGCTTTAAGCAAGTCAAAAACAGTATTTTGTAAAACCCTAGCTAAATGTGGGGAAGGGACATGACAAAAGTTCAAAATCCTACTTTGCAAAATCCAATTCTCATCTATGTAATATGCAGTGAGGCAAAGGTAATCTTGAGTTACTGCTGAAGTCTACATATCACGAGTCAAACAAATTTTGCCCTGAAGATTTTGCAAACATTTCTTTAACCTATCTTGCTCTCTTTTGTGTATTTTTAAGCAATAATTCTTGACAATGTTCGTACAAATTTCTTTTGCATCCACATTCAAGTATGCAAGAAGTTTTCTAACATGCTTGTGCTCAACCCAAGAAAAAGGATATGCATGGTGAATAACAATCAATGCCATCAACTCCTTATAGATTTCCAAATCAATCTTTTGTTTACCCAATTTTCCAGAATTGTCAGTCAACATTTGTAAAGGATTACTAGAAACATACCTTGCAGGACATTTCAAAAGATGCTCTTTCAGATTTTTTGTGCCATATGAAGATGGAGCTATATAAGTACTGCCACAATGTTTGCATTTGGCTCTATCTTTTCCATCATTATAATTTTTAGCCAAAATGATGTTGAAATCTTTCCAAACATCTGAAGTTTTCCTTCTCTTTGATTTAGGTTCAATAATAACTTCAGATTTTCTTTTAGAAAACATTAGATATGAAATTAAATTAGACACATGAAATTTATTACAAAATAGACAAAAAAAAAAAAAAAAAAAAAAACACGAACAAACATGATTGAGATAAAATAAAGCCCATAAATTATCATTTAAAAAATAAACAAATGCAAGAAAAAATTAAATCAATAATGATTTTTATTAACTAAGAACAGATTAACAACTAAAAACAAACTAACAACTAAAAACTAACCTTGATTTTGTTGTTCTTGTGCTTTTGATGGTGATGAAGATATGTCAGACACTGGATCTTGAGTTTCTGTAGGCATTCTTTTGCTTCTTATTGTGAAAGAAAAAAAGAAGAAGATATTTTTGATGCGGCTCACTAGTTGCTATTGCCATAAGATCTGATTTTCGTTTGATGCAAGTGCAGAAGGTTTTGGAGCTTGAGATGGAGGAGGGAAAAGGAAGAGTATAGAAAACGTAAAGTTGAAAGAAGTGAGATTGACGGGGACGGCAGCTGAGAGTGGGAGGGATTAGGGGTACAGATTTTATTTATTTTTATTTTAAAATTAAGAAAGTAAAAATTAAAAATTAATTGAGGTATATATATTATTTATTTTTATTTTTAGAATTAAGAAATTAAAAATTAAAAATTTATTTTTAAGTAATTTTATTAAAAAAAATAAATATTTGGATCATTTCAGGTGACCCGATCCACTCGTGACCCAACCCATTTGGGTTCAAATAATTTCAGTTCGAATCATTTCGGATTTCGAATTAACACATAAGATCTATCACCTGACCCATAATAGATTGGTTGGGTCAGATTTTTGGATTGAATCCAATTTTGCCAGGTTTAATTATTAAAGTAAGGCGAGCACCTAATATTGGGGGCTCTTTTTTCTATTCAATTATTTTTATTTTACAGTATAGACTATCATTCAAGACTATAAAATAGAGAATTCTTTTATTATAGTGGTTTGAAATTAACTTATGATTAATGGTTTTATCTAATTTAAAATCTATTAATTGTTGTTATATATAATTTAATGAAAAAATATTTTGTAGTCCAATACGAAACAGTAGACTCCTAATTCAAACCTCTTATTTTTTGATTAAACAAAATTGCTACATCAAACACCTTAGTTAAACATTATACCGAATGATTTTATTCCAAAATTATTGAATATTTTAAACTTCTTCTACAAAATTTAACATCTCAAATATAAAATTAAAATAGCAACACCCTCACACAAGTGCTATATATATATATATATATATATTAGGTATTAGGACAAGTGATTTAAGCTTATGAGAGAAGGGAATGGGAAGATGATAACAGCTTCAAACTCTTATTATGAGTGTGGAAGTCTTTTATACTAATAGTAAAGTTACTTCGACTGCCAAAGTTTCACCTAACAAGTGTTATATTATATATGTCTAAATAGGATAATGAATTCGTAAAGAATTACTCCTATTTTTCTATGACTACTTTAAAAAAAACTATCTTAATCCTACATGTACATAACTTTGTAGGTTCTTTATGTTGAATTTAGGTAATTAATTCATCAAATTTTACCTCTTCATGAGTTTTTTTTTCTTTTCTTTTCTTTTCTTTTTTTAAAAAAATCTTAATTCTACCCATGTCATGTATTGGACTCTTGTAGTATGTTTTCTTTTGGCAATTTGGTTATTGTATTTTCATGTACTTGTTTTCTCTCTAATCTCTATTATACTTATAAGGTCCGCATCCATTTCACCATTTCACTTAATTGTTTTATTTGATTTCATTATTACCGTTTCATTTTCTTGAATATCATGCATGTGAAAGAAAGAAGACATGGATGTGTTGCCATAGCAGGGGCAGAGGTGGACCAGAAAACAGCAAATTGGCTGCGGTGAATTTGACTAGGGGGACCAGGCCACAGCTAGCTAGACTGACCATCTGTAAATTAAGCAGCCTGTTGTCAATAGACCTTTCTGATTGGTTATTTATTTATATATGCAGCAGCTGCAGCACTACATGCCACTTTTGTCAATTTCCGCAAATTCTATTTTTCCTCGTAGAAGAGCATGGTTACATGAAATATCATTTAACTTTTGATTGCCTATTTTTTAAAGAAACAAATAATTAACCTTATTTCAACCAAATATACGAGAGAGAAAGGATCTTAATTATGTTCCCCTGCTTTAACTATATATATATATATATAGGGCCACCTATAAGTGTTTGTTATAATATATATATATATATTGGGATATATATATATATATATATTGGGAGAAAATGTGTGCTATAGGAAGAGGTAAATAGTGAAGAGGGTAAGCTAATAGGAGGGCGTGGAGAAATAGGAGTGCTCCTAAGCTTTCGAGAAAGAGATTCCTATCAAATTATGTGTCAGATAATTGAAATTGTTTCTATGTTATTAATTACTACCTTAGTTTAGGATCAATTTTCAAATTTCAACTTTATGGCTATGTAACTTTAATTAACATTTTTTATATAAGTGGATAAATAATTATTATTAAAAATTGTTTTATTGAGTAAAATTACTCAACAAGAATTGTGTATGCACCCGCTTGTGATCATGTGCTCTTCATTTGAGTGCTCTAGTGGAAACTCTTCTATTTCCCAGGACTTACCTTCTTCATCCTCAAGACTTGCAAATGTGATCTTGCTGCTTCCACTTCAGCTCCTTGAGGCTTGTGGTGTTTTTCATACTTCATTCTCAGTGGTAACGCTCTTTGGCTATCTATGTTTTAGAGGATGCCTGACCTACAACAGATAGGGACCCTTCTTCTAATCAACTACTCTTCTAAAGTGGATTTTTTCAGTACCCAGGAGGCTTATACTTTGGTTTTTTTTGTTTTCGTGTTCCCTGTTAATTGTTATGTTGGTGTTTAGCTATTTTTGTTTGGTGTTTCAATATAAGCTTATGTGATTGGTACGATTGACTTTATCCTTAAATGAATAGTTGTTATTGCAGTGGCTAAAAGAAAGGGATTATGTATAAAAAAAATTTTAATTATTATTTATATGTTAAAATGACATAATTAGTAGGAATGTTCATATCCGATCCAATCTGATTGATTCGACCTAAATTAATTCAATCCAATCAAAAAACTAATTCAAACCGATATAAAATTGGGTTGGTTTGAATTCTAAAATTTTAAAACCGGTATAATTGATTTGGTTTGT